GCTACTCCTCAACACAGCCCCTCACTCTGAAAAGGTAGACTTAATTCTTGGATGAGATTAAAATTTGAACACATGCTTCTAAATCTTTTAAAAAAACACATTAGTTTTTATTTTTTAACTTTAAAATTAAAAAAAGTTTATTGGTGCATTATAATCATTCATAATAGCAGGATTTGTTATATATATTTGTGCAGGTACATCCTCCTAAATCTTGCTCAGAAAACCCCCTATTACTTAGAAATTGCAAACACTCAATCCAGTGTTCAAATGATCAAAAATTCTGAATGAATGTAAGTCAAATGCATGAAGTTCTATCATTATAAAAAAGGAAATAAATACATTTCTTTTACCTTCATACCTTTCTGGAGGAATTTTACCGTATTCTGTATTTAATTGGAGTCAACTAAATACATTTCTCTCTCTCTCTCTCTTTCTAAAATCATTTTAGAGAGCAGGTCAGTGAAACAATGTAATCCTATTTTGTGCCGCTCCACTTGGGTTTTGAGTCTGATTTTTCCTAGGTTCCTGCCAGGCAGGATTTTATGAGCTCTTAGAATTAATATCTGCCTTGGGAGAAGGGATCCGGGGTCAGCAATGCACTAGAAGCAAGCCAGAGAAAGAACCAGGCATGAAAGCAAGAGGCAGTGACAGAAGGGAGTTCTTTGTGTGCTAAATGAGATGTGTGCTGGGGACCTAGCACGTTGATTTTGATCATTAAGTCTTGCTGATGTGCTCATCAGAACTTTCGGAAGGAAGGTGCCTGCAACAACTTCATGCTGTGGCTCCATCAAGTTCGCTTCTTTAAGCAGCAAATGGGGCTTGACATCTTTTATGGGATAAGCTTGTCGAATATAAACCATGTATCCTCAATCCCACAGATTCCCTTGTCCTTACTGCTCACCGCTGGGCTTATTGGTCTCACTAAAACAGGAGTTACCTCATTGTTCAAAGAATCACCAGTTTTGATTTCTGAAACAATCCTTTACATTTGAAATCAAGCTGAATAGCCTTATTAAACAGTATCTAGAGATCTTCATAACGTGCTTGGGGGAGACAGTAGGTGTCTTGGAGTTGGGGAAGAAGGAGGCCAAGAGAGCATGGCCCTGCATTCCCCATCTTCACTCTAACAAGGTGGCTCTGCCTTTTGTTTTTGCATTGACTTTAGGCAGATGATTTTGTTTGAAAGGTGGTGGGTAGAAGATTTCAATAGTTTCAGAAAAGTTGAAGAGCCCTGGTATGATCCCAGCTCCCACCCAAGGCATCAACCCTTTGCAATATACATACCACATAAGAATTAAACATCTTCTAGAATATTCCCTGTGACATTCTGCTCACTACCTCTAAAGCTGAGCTACATCAGTAACTAGGGATTTTGTTAGAGTTGCAGATTCTTAGGCCCCACCTTGGATGGGTCTGCATCAGTGACTGTAGGAAAGCTTGTTAGAGGTACAAACTCTCAGGCCCCACCACAGATGGGCCAAATCAGAATGTGCATTTTAAAGGCTTCCAGGTGATTTATGTGCAAGTTCAAGTTTGTAGCACAAAGCATTTTTTTTTCTCTTGTTTTCATGGGGGGAATCACCTGAGGAGTATTCAGAAATTCCAGTGCATGGATTGCATGCTAATTCTTCTGATTTAGTTGGTCTACAGTGTGTTCTGGGTGCAGCAGAGTTTTAGAAGCTCTTCAGGCAAATCTCTTGTGCAACCAGGGCTGAGCATAACTTCCAGACCCCTGATAATGATGGCTGGGACTGATGCTGTTACTTCTCAAATTGAGTGAAAGCCTATGGCCCTGTATCTCTCACTATCCATTCTATGTCACAAGCAACAAGTTGAACCCATCTAATGGGATGGCCCTGCAAACATGAGATGACCGTGAACTTGCCTTTCCCCAGAGCTCTTTTTGCATAGAGAGCTTTTAGGGATCATCTCTCCTTTTATATGTGCCGAGCAGCCTCATCTGCCTGCAATTCCTCAAATGACCCTCAGGCTCTCTCTCCTTATTAGAGGATGACACTAGATGCTTGACTGTTTACTTGCCTCACCTTTGTACTGATCTGCGGATCAGTGTGGTTTCTTTGTAGAGAAAGGAAGCAGCACCCAAGCATTTTTGTAGCTCAATTTTTTATTCAGCGGTCACAGCCAAATCCCATGTACTTTGAAGCTCTCTTGGAGGCTGGCAAAAATTGCAACCTATCAGTTGATAAATTCATCAAATATTTATTCAGTCCTTATTACATATCTGGTTCTGAGCTGGTTCTGGGTTGGGGACATTGAAAAGAGTCCTCCCATTCTTTGGTACTTTCTCCAAGGTCTCACGGACAACCACCAGAGAGGGTAACGTGGCAAGTGGAGAGTGGTTACCTTTTCAAGGAGAGTGGAGACATTGGAGGGATGTAAGTAACTTTTTGTAAATAGAGATATGATATAAAATACATTAATATTCAAAATTTAATAATAACCCTATGTGCAAGATATAGCTAAGTTATTAGCTAGTTACAGAAATACTTCTAAGTGCATGGAGAGTGATGGGAATGCAGAACACTCTCTCCAGTTAATCAGGGAAGCTTCCCGGAGGAAGCAGTAGGTAGGCAGGCCAAGAATGATGAGGTGGTTATAGGTGGGGAAAACCCGCAAGTACTAAGGCATGAGGGTGGGGCAATCATGACATGATGTGGGTCCTAGGATATGAGTGGAACTGAATGGAAGCTGGCTGTGTACAGCAGTGTCAGGAGACATGGCTGCAAAAGGAAGACAAAGGCCAAATCACGAAGGGCATTTTATGATGAGCTGGAGAGATCCTGATTTATTTTGAAGTTGATGTGAAACTATAAAATGGTTTTAAACAGGGGATTAACGTGGTCAGATACTTGTGCTCTGGTGGTGGATGGAGGTGGGCAAGGCTACAGGTGGCATCCTTAGGATGCTGAGTCTTGACCTGGAGGAAGTGAGGATGATCCATGTTAGGGTCATGATGGGTGGGTGTGAAGGGAGGGATTTGGGAGGCACTATAGCTGGGAGAAAGAGCTAGTGGACTTGGCTGCTGGAGGCATAATTATCCTGGCTTTCTGGGTTAGACTTGTGGAGAAGAGTGAGGCCAACCAGTGCCGGGGCCCCAGGGAGGAGGAGCAGAGCTGCAGGGGAGTTATCATTTGGACATACTGTCCTGGAGGGCAGGTGGGTATATTCATGGATCTGGAGCTGAGATAAAAGTCTGGGCTGGCATTAACCTTGGAAGCTCTCATGTTTAAAACCATGAGAAGGTGACAGGATGCAGATGGCCATGAAATGAAGAGAGAGGAGGCCATACGTGGAGAGAAAAGCCCAGGGAGAGAGTCTAAAGACAGACAGGAGGAAGGCTCCAGGGGCAGATGGAACCTGTCTGAGGGGAAGGACAACGAGGCTGGGAACTTGCTGCCTGGTTTCGTCAAGCTGGACCAGGCTGGTCAGTGATGGCTAGAATAGGTGGGCTGAGTCCAGGGAAGTGAGGAAGTGGAGGCAGTTGGTGGTGACTCCATTCTTAACAGGCATGGCCATGGAAGGGAGGGTTGAGGACCATAGCTAAATAAAGGGCAAGAGATGAAGGAAGGCATCTTTGTGTTTGGTTGAAAAGGCAGGGGATATGCAGACCTCTGTATCTCTCTGACAAACCACCCAGTCTGCCTTCAGAGTTTAGAAATGCTCTCACAAATGATATTCAAATACTAGGCTCCAGCAGAGAGAAACCCAGCTCCCCGCCCCCCATTCCTTCTCCCTCCTATCTGCTTAGGCGTAGGGTAGGGTGTGTGTGTGGGGGTGCAGAGTGGAGAAGCTGTGTCTACCTGTGGAGGAAGATGGCTAACAGTTCTGCCTGAAATCTTGATTGGGTTGATATGTAAAGGTAAAACAAACCCTCCATTAAAAGCTTCTGCAGATCATGTTGCAGAAAAAGAGGAAATTAGATGGCCCTTGGTTTGGCTGAAGACCTTATGGAGATTTGGGGTAGGAAAAAAAGGTCACCAGAAGCCTAATTCAGGATGAGGCAAAAAATATAGAATTGGTCTTTGTGGGGAAAAGTAAAAGCAATGGAAGCAGCTGTGGTGGTGGCAGACCTATGGTTGGAAGAAGAACTTGCAAAAGGGTACAGCTAGCAAGAAACTTTCTGTAGGCACTGCAAGCAACAGTGGTATCTGCAAGTAAATATCAAGAAAGTATAATCCTGTCCAATGCTGTGATTCCTGATTTTACTTCCCAACACTTTGTTAAATTAGGCCTTGTCCAAGAACTCTAGATTAGTGGGGCTTTGAGAAAATGAAGGAGGAGAAATTATTTCCAGAGTGGAGCTAAGTGGGCTAGTGATAGATGATGGGTGCAGCAGAGTTCCCAGGGGTACATTGTTTCTCATATTGGGTGGGGGAGGGGATCTGATGAAGGGGGAAACCTGCCTCAGAAAGAGCAAGACAGAGATCCCCGGAATATGTATTATGCTCCTTGGTCCATCTTTCCAATCTGCCAAATGATGCCCAATCCTTTGAGGATTCCTGAAATCCTTGAGGGATGTTCCACAAATCCCAACCAGCCAGAGCCCGGTTACCGAAAGCTGAGGTAGATAACTGCCACCAGGTGGCGCCAAACTGCAACCGGCACCTGGACCACTGAATACCTGTTTAGCTAACTGGCATTTCAGTAATGAAACCATAAAGCAATACACACACTGTATGTGCTTGAGTTCATTGTATGCTACCCACTACCCACCCTCATCTCCCACGTCCCTGACTAGGTCATTGTTCAGTTTTCCAATTTGTGACTTGTGTAGCAAGTGTTATACAAACCTTCTTGGAATATTCTAAACCCACTGCATTTTGTAAGTGACATGTTTGTTCTGAGTACCAGTGAGCACTGCTCATGGTTTTGCTGATATAACTCATCTACTCTCTTTTTCTCTCTCTTCTTTCTATTTGTGGTACTAGAGATTGAACCCCAGGGTATTCTAGCCCTTCTTATTATTTTTTTAGGTGGTGCTGGGGATTGAACCCAGGGCCTTGTGCATGCGAGGCAAGCACTCTACCATCTGAGCTATATTCCCAGCCCCTATAACTCATCTACTCTGACCCCTCTGGGTGGATCTGAACTGTATTGTTCGATGCCCTGCTTCCGGCTAGTCTATCACTGCAGTGTGTCCATGCTGGGTGAGTAACCAGTGACAGATCTGGGGGTGGGCTTCTGCCTTGGCTGCTGCAGCCTGTGATGAATGCTGAGCTGGGGAGGGCTGGGATGTGTGCAGAAGAACCGAAGCTTATACTTCTCCATTCTGCTGAACACATTGTTTTTGGTGGGGCTTTGTCTAAAATTACTTCAAACAACGGCAACTGATAAGACTAAACATTTCTCATATAGGTAAGCTACACCACAAATGTGGATGTTGGTTGGTATTTTACATTTCCTCCAGTTTCTGGATTGGAAAGACACTTAAAACAATTGAAAACAATCTTAGTCACAATAGTTTGTGACTCATCACTGGCCATGTCTCCAAGTCTGGACTAAGTGCCCAGTCTCATGTCCCATGCATCAAGTGCCCACCCTTCTTGTTGTGACTGGAAAATGTTTTGTCTCCACAGGACAAATCTTAACACACCACCAGAAAAACTTTTCTTCTGAAGAGATTTAGTACAAGTGTGATCCAATGTAAATAGCCACGGGCTTGTGGGCAACATAGAAATTTCACATTTTCCACGTGCAGTAGTTTCAGCATAAAGATATTTCTGCAAAGTGGATTTGATTTCATGTCATTACCTTCGGGACTTCAGGTAAGAGACAGATATTGCTAACCCTGTTTCAAATTGAAAAATTAAGGTACAAGGAAGGTAATTGCCTTGTTCAAGTCACTCAGGGTTGAAATGGAAATGGAAAAAAGATCTGTCCTTTTCTCATCCCAACCCTTTGCACTGTTTTCTCTTTCTGCTCAGATGCACTAAGAAGAATGGATAAATGCCACTCGGATCAGAGAAACCACAGTTTTTCAAGAATGAGTAAATATGTCAAGCACACAATTTATCTGCAGCATGTAATCATGGCAGATGATTTATTGAAAAATAGCACAGCTTACAAAAGCAGACCCAGAATTGGATTCCATCTAGATGGGTGACTTGGAAGGTGTCCAGCTGGATTCCTGTTTATGTCTGGACTCCTTCTCGTATTTCTTCAGCCTCTGCTTGTCTTGAACCCTGAACCCAGCGAGACTCTCAATTGACTGAAATATGTGAGAAAAACAAACACCCTACTTTCTGTTCCTCAGCCAGAAGTTTCTCAGCATAGACAATAGGCCATTATGCCATGAGCCACAAAAGGCTGCCGGGCTACAGTTTCCATTAACAAATTGAGCAGTACAATTTACATGTCTCCCAGAAATGATCAAGAAGGCTACATGAATCAATTTGAAGTCTGCTTGAGTTACATGTGAGAGGATGAACATTTTTAATGTGGGAGAGTGGACAGATTTTCCTACTTCCCCAAGTTGGCCAAAGAGAATCTAATAATTTCTGGATCATTCTTTTATGCAACCTTCTCATCTTACAAAAAGGGGGCTTTTATTGAAAAGCTAATCTGTGCAATAAAGGTGAAAAGTCCATACGGCTTGGATGTGGAAGAGGTTTGGGTGGGGGAGGGTATGAAGGGAGGAGTGACAGGATATGAAAGCGGGAGGTAAGCAGAGACAGGGAATTTTTGGTAGGTATACCATCAACAATTATTTAGGGTATTTACTAATGAAATTCTTATTCTCAGGCCTATTGAACTAGGCTTCATGAACTTGATTGTACATAGATACTGAACCATGCCTATTTAGGGTTTACGAAGGTGGCATGCATATTGTTAGAAAAGTCACCAATTCAAGTTTTGGGTCCTCCTTGTGTTGAGGTGGTGTCTTTAGTTACGGATGAGGAATGTGGAAGAAAAAGGCCATGTCATTTTTTTCTGGGCCCCGTTCATTCTGTCATCTAACTGCTGATGAAATCCCTACTTTGGGTTATGTGTGAGGATATAGTAATAATTAAAAAGGACCTGGACTCATCTTTGAGAAGCTTAAGCAGTAGAGGGAAGACAGATAGTAAAGAAATATAATAGTAAATAAATGTAAAATCATAAATGTGTTAAGTGAATAAAGGAACAAAACAGTGGGTAGTGGTGGGAAATTCCAGGGGTATTCACTCAAACAACTCTGATGAGGTGGTTCTTCACAGAACCCTGAAGGGCTGGGCAGCTCTGGGAAAGGCATGGGAAGGCATAGCAGGCAGAGGCAAGAGCAGGCCCTGAGGTTTGAATGAGCTGGTATATTAGAGCCAAGAGAAGCCCTCTGTGGCTAGATTCTAGGGGTAGGGGGATGAGGTCCAGGAGATATAAGCAGCAGCCACACCCTTGAGGGTTCTGTAGGCCATTCTCTTGTTAGCCAGGTCTTTTTTGGAAGTGCCTAAAAAAGTCACTGAAGGGGTCAAGCAGGGTGGGGCATGAACCAGCTTTGATTTGGGGGTAGTTAAACATGCAAGCCAGGGTCCGGATGAGACTTTGCACTTTTATTTGGGTAAGACAATGAGACGAGAAGGCTGTGTTGGTCAGGGTTCTCCAGAGAAACAGACTCAGTAGGAGAGCTCTCTCTCTCTTTCTGTGTCTCTGTGTCTCTCTCTCTCTCTCTCATCTATCCCTCCATGTATCTCTTAGATTAATTTATTTTAAAGAACTGGCCTACATAATTGTGGGAGCTGACAAGTCTGAAATCTGTAGGATAGGCTAAAAATTTAGCTAAGAGTTGGAGGCAGAATTCCTTCCTGTCCAGAAAAATCTCAGTCCTTAAGAAAAATTTTTTGCAGAAAATATTTTGCTCTTAAGGCCGTCAACCTATTGCATAAGTACTGCCCACATTATAGAGGGTAGCCTGCTTTATTTAAAGCAAACTCAAGGTAAATGTTAACCACACCTACAAAATACCTTCACAGCAACATCTGGCTAGTGTTGGCCTATTAGCTTAACCAGCATGGCACAAAATTAACTATCATATGGGTGCAGCTAGGATAGAGAGCTGCTAAAATTCAGGATATGATCTGGAGACATTTTATAACAACAATGACAACAATCATCACCACCACTGGCACCGTATTAATCACTGTCACTGATGGAGTGTGTGCCACAAGCCAGACTCTGCTCTTAATGCCTTTCATATATCTTCATTCACTTTCACCAACAACAATTTTTGTTTTACAGATGATAAAATTTAGTCACAAAGATTGCATCACCACACACAGCATAATTCCAGAGCACACTCACAACTGCTGTGTAAATAAAATTCCCTAGAGTTGTGCAAGGCAGTTGACCCTGGCAGAAAGTTTAAGTGACTAACCCAAGAATTATGTTTTAGAAATTAGCATTGGATTGGAAAATTATATGGGAAAGTACATTGAGTATGTGATATATATACTTTTATTATATGTGTATATATTTAATAGTATGCTGAGTTTAAAAATGGCAAAATTATTAAAATTTCAATAATTGCATAATTTGTTAAGGGATACATAATATAAAAAATGTAAATTGTGACATCGAAAATCCAAAAATATGTGAGGGAAATGGAGTCACAATATATAAAGAACTTAAACAAGTAACAGCAAAAGACAAAAAAATATAATTTAAAATAGGCAAAAGACCTGAATAGACATTTCTCTAAAGAAGATGTACAAATGGCCAATAGGTACAGGAGAAGGTGATTGACACCACTAGTCCTATGGGACACAAAAATTAAAACTGTAATGAGATTTCACCTCAAACCTTTTTGGCTATTGTCAAAAAGACAAAAGAGGTATCTGCTTATGTATTTATTGTAGCACTATTCATAACATATAAGATATGGAATCAACTTAAGTACCCATCAGTGGATAAATGAAGAAAATGTGATACACACACACACACACACACAATGGAATACTATTCATCCATCAGAGAGGAATTCCTGTCATTAGTGACAGGCATAAATCTGGAGGACATTATGTTAAATTAAATGAGCCAAATGCAAAAAGACTGCTACTGCATATATGGAATCTAAAAGAGTCCATCTCATATAAATTGAGAGTAGAATGGTGGTTACCAGAGGGTGGAGAACCTAGTGGGGAGGAGGAGATGGTCAGATTAGTCAACAAGTTCAAAATTAGAAGAAATAAATTCTGGTGTTTGCACAGAAGGGGGACTATAGTCAATAATGATGTGTTATCTATTTCAAAAAACTAGAAGAGAAGATTTTGAATGTTTCAACTGCAAAGAATGATCAGTGATTGAGGTGACTGGATATGCTAATTACCCTGATATGATCATTACATAATATAGGCATGTATTGAGATACACCATGTGCCCCATGAATTTCTATAATTATTATGTCATTAAAAACAAGAGACAAGAAAATTAAAAACTGACCATTTAGAATAGTTATAGATATACAGAAAAGTTAGGAAGACAATGCAGAGTAGCCATACACTACTAATACATAGTATAGATAGCTTCCCTTACTATGAACACGTTATTAGTGTGGTACATTGATCGCAATTATGAACCACTATCAATTCCTTAGTATTAAAGTTTATATTTTATTCAGATGTCATTAATTTTCTCCTCATGTCCTTTCTCTGTTCCGACACCCCACAATACATCTACTAGCTGTGCCTCCTTAGGCTCCTCTAGGTTTGATAGTTTCTCAGATTCCCTTGTTTTTGATGAACTTGACAGTTTTGAGTTGGACCAATCAGGTATTTTGAAAAGTGTCCCTTAGCTGGGATTTGCCTATTCTTTTTCACAGTTAGCATGGGGTTATGTGTTTTGGGGAGGATAACTACAGAGGAAGAGTGCCCTTCTCATCTTTTCATATCATGACCATCATGACTGAGCTCTGTTGCCAATGATCTCGGTCTCTAGACTGAGGTTGTATTGTCAGGTACTTCACGGTAAGGAATTCTTTCCTCTCTCTTTCCAAGATGTACTCTTTGGAAGGAAGTTACTACATGCAGCTCTGACTTAAGAAGTGGGGGGTTATGCTTTCCCACTTGAAGACAGACTATCTACATAAATTATTTGTAATTCTTTTTCATGGAAGATTTGTCTATTCCCATTTATTTTTTATTCAATCTTTTATATTAGTATGGACTCAATGGGCATTTATTATGTATTTTGGCTCATAATCTAATACTATTACTTTTATTTGTGGTTTTGCTCTCATTCCTATAACTTTGGACATTTAGAGTGTTTCACTTGCTTCTTGTGTTCCTCTAGCCCCCTGACATTGGGTGTATTCCCATGTGTGTATGCATATATGTGTGTTGAGCATGCATGTTGAGCATGTTCTTCCTTCTGGGAAATACAAGATGCTCCAGGCTCATGCTGCAAATCCACGGTTTTTGTCCTAGAATTGTTTCTCCAGGGAAACCTGTTCCTGAATTCTATGAGATATGGAACCTCATTAACCTTTCTAAGAGCAATCATGTTTATTATGCTCACCCCAATGCCTACCCTTCAGAATGAGGGAAATCATTCTTAATTTAAATAAGAGGGACATTAATGAACCAACTTCTAAAAGTCATGTAGCAAACCTTGCACTGGACCCTAGGTTTCATGGCAACAAGCCTTGAGTTTCTTCCAAATTCACTTTCATTTTCTATATTTTGTTGCTTCTCCAGGTCTTTGGTAAATTTCATGGGCTCAGGAATTCCTACTCATCTAATCCTCATAACAACCAGAAAAGGCAGATGTGGCTTCATCTTTACCTTCCCTTGCAGTGAGGATGCTGAGGCAGAGCAGTATGTAGGCTACACATATTGGTGCATCTGGTGAGTGGCTAACATCACATGTTTACCCAGGCCCTCCGACTCTGTGGGCTTTATGCCTCAACCCTCTACTGCAGGGCCCAGCAGTCTACAGCCCACAGGCCAAAGCAGTTCACCATCTGTTGTAATATGGTTCATGAATTCAGAATGATTTTTACATTTTTTAAATTGTCAGGAAACAAAGGATGAATATTATTTCATGGTGTGTGAAAATTGTATGAAATTCAAATATCAATGTCCATAAATAAAATTTCCTTGGAACACAGTCATTTCCATTCACTTCAGTATTATCTGTGGTTACTTTTGTGTTCCAGTAGCTGAATGGGGTAGTTGTGACAAAGAACATGGGGCTTGCAAGACCTAAAATATTTACTGCCTGGCCTCTTAGAGAAGAACTTGTCAACCCTTGCTTTAAGAGAGAAACTAATTTTCCAAGAAATCTCCATACTGCTTTCCATATTGGCTGAACCAATTTGCAGTCCCACCAGCAGTGTATGAGTGTATCTTTTCTCCCACATCCTCACCGACACTTATTGTTGTTTGTATGCATAATAGCTGCCATTCTGACTGGAGTGAGATGAAATCTTAGAGTGGTTTTGATTCGCAGTTCTCTAATTGCTAGCGATGATGAACCTTTTTTTCATATATTTGTTGATGGGTTATATATCTTCTTCTGAGATGTGTCTGTTCATGTCCTTGGCCCATTTATTGATTGGGCTATTTATTTTTTTGGTGTTTAACTTTTTGAGTTCTTTATATACCCTAGAGAGTAGGG